GTACCTGTTGGTAGGGATGCACCGATCCACATTTTTTACTTCCGATCCCGATACTTCAATTTTAGATAACGCCCGATACCTATCCAGTTCCGATATCATCATTGATTTTATATGAGACTGTAATAATCTCAAGTACAATTTGTACATATATATGCATGCAGGTCCAAAAAGACAACTTGAGATAAGTTTTATTAATGTTGGATAAGTTTTAAAGTTAGAATTAAATTCTGCTAACACAAAACATGTTTGTTTTTAATCCTAGCTTTAAAGTGGATATTAAAGTGATTATTTTAAGTGATTGTTTAAAGTTATTTTATGTATTTTTTAAATAAGGGGCAGATATAAGATTTTTCTTCTTTTTGCACTCTTTTCATTCAATCTTTTCTTTTTGATGAATTTGTTTTGTTTCTTTTAAATGAATGAATAAATGAATAAAATAAAATGTTAAATGGCTTTAAACATCTGTTCAGTTCATGGCATAAACCAACACAGACATGTTCCTGTTTTTAATTATTTACATCACTTTAAAATGTAGCTGGTTTTTTTTTTTTAATATATATATATATAATTTTCTTGTAATTTTCAAATCATGTTTTTTTATGATTGTCTACTGTTCTACTGATAAATATCTCCTGGAGGGTAAACTATATCTTGGCTGCAAGTATCAAGCTGTGAAATCCTTCATTTTCTACAACTGATAGTGGTTGGTCATAAATTATGAGGAAGTTTAGCAACTTCTCAGTAAACATTCGAGTTCCGGAGCTTCAGCGATGTCTTCTTCTTGTTCAATCTGCAGCAGGTGGTCTGATTTCGGTCAGCCGCGCTCAGTCTGTCCCTCCTCAGAGACGGGCAGCGTTAGCGGGGCTGATTGGACGCGGCTGGCCGAGGTCGAGTTGCCTATTTTGGGTTGAGCTAAGAGCAGCGCCCCGCTGAAGCCACGGAGCTCGAATGTCCAACATAAAACTAACTTTACCATGGTTTAATGTGGTGCTATGGCTCTGCAGACATTGCACGTTTCTGTCTTGTTTTGTGGTGTTTCTAGTGTAAAATACTTCCACACAGCGACATGTTGAGATGAAAAGTTGGTTAGCTGTTAGCCACAGTGCTGCTAACTCAGCCCTCATGTTGTAGCTGGCTGCAAACTATGAACTGGATTTCCTGAATGTGAGGCGGGTCTTATTACTCTGGGTTCATGAGACACGCCTCCGTTCAGGAAATCCAGTCCATAGTTTGAAGCCAACATGCATCATGGATCAGAAATCTCTGCAGGTTGGATCGGAAAAATCCGATACGTAAATTATGCTGTATCAGAGGCCGATACCGATACTGGATCGGATCGGCCCCATCCCTACCTGTTTGTCTTGAAAAGTGAGTTACATAAATTTAGGTTAATATAAAAAGGTCCCTTACCAATTTTATGCCAGATGTGTGATGTTTTCCACCGCCTTTGGTTTTATAAATATACGTATGAAGACGATCAACTTGGAGCTGAATCATACAACATTAGAAAACATTTGACCAGAGGCAGGTAGGAAACAAAATGTAGGACTTTTTACACTTTCCAGCTATTTAATTTCTTAGATTGACTGGCTTTGTGGGAAAAATAAATAAATGCAAACAGTGTAGCTCCTGGATATGAACTTTCAATAAAACTCTTAAGTCAGGGGTGCTCGGACTTTTTCATCATGCGAGCTACTTTTAAAATGATGAGTCAGAACGATTTATCTACTGGCCCTGTTTACACGAGAACAACCTCTGGAAACATTTGTGTTTTTTCAATGTTTAATGGGGGTAATAAACAAAAAATGACTGGGTTTACACGAAAACGCTGTAGTTTCCATGACAGTCGGGTTGCTAGATAAGAAATGATGAACTAGTACTGTGGTTTTAAAATGATAGTATTTTGACCTAAACTGTCATATGCGCTGATTAAATATATTCTAAGATTAGGTCTGTGTTGTGTTTGTTGAACATGTGCACAGAAAAGGAGGGGGTAAATAAGACATTTTAAATTTATCTGGCAACCCAGATGCATGGCTCAGCTACATTCATCGAGCATGCACCATCTGTATGATCACCATTAAGTCCCAACTGGTGAATACACTAATGTCACTTTAGACCATGGATTTTATTAGTTTTTCTCCTACATGCTGAAAAAGGGTGCGCAGCACAAAACACTTTGCTCTCTGCCATTTATAACTGTTAGTGCAGAAAAATTGGGTGCTGCAGCCACCTGGAGTGCGCATGTGCCACTTCACACTTGGAGCATTTCACACTTTGGGGGTGGGGGGTGATTTCCCCCCCAAATCCTGGATTCAGAAACTGTTGCATTTTGAGAGCTGACTGCGGGTTGTCAGTCACTGCAGCTAGCTACGGCTAGCTGTGGGCCTCAGGCTTCCTCTCTGACCCTGGACCTTCAGCCAGCCCCCACCGCTTCCTCTGGTTCTATCTCTCTCAGAAGTGGCAACTCATACTATCAATAAATCAATGAGACGTCAATTAAGTTTTATCAATTATATTAAAAAAGGCAGGAAAAGGTTACAGCTTTACGACGCTGGACTCTCCGGACTGTGACGCGTTCACAGACCCGCAAGAGCCTTGAAGTCCCGTGTCATTACTAATTTATGGGGTCCTATGACTCCTCCTTTCGCAGAAGGGGAGCTCAGCCTATCAGTGTATGAGGGGGCGTGGCTAAGTGTGGTCTTATGTGGACTGACGTGTTAGGAAATATGAGACAGTGCTCCAAAGCCTTCTACGTGATGTGGCAAGCAGATTAAACTATATGACTGATATTGAAATCCCAGGAAGACTTTCTTGAGAGCTGCTGGCCCAGTTTAACCCAGTCAGAACCGGGTCATAATTTTATTATAATCCCGTCTCTGATCAGATCAAAACCATAGGACCAGTCTAAATAAGAAATATCTTAACAGAAACCTTCGGTTTCAGAAAGGATGAGGGCTGTTCCTGTAAACGAACGGCCAAACGTTTCACGTCGTTTATAAATGGGGCCTCAGACTGGCTGCCCTGTACGTCAATCAAGTGAGAAATTTTATAGATGGATGATAGGATGACATCTATTTTTTTATGTCATGCCATCTACCCATAATACCTTTGTGATCTACTGGTAGATCGTGATTGACGTATTGGGCACACCTGATCTACAGGTCCTTCTCAAAAAATTAGCATATTGTGATAAAGGTCATTATTTTCCATAATGTAATGATAAAAATGAAACTTTCATATATTTCAGATTCATTGCACACCAACTGAAATATTTCAGGTCTTTAATTGTTTTAATACTGATGATTATGGCATACAGCTCATGAAAACCCAAAATGCCTGTCCCAAAAAATTAGCATATTTCATCCCACCAATGAAAGACAAGTGTTTTTAATACAAAAAACGCCAACCTTCAAATAATCATGTTCAGTTATGCACTCAATACTTGGTTGGGAATCCTTTTGCATGAATGACAGCTTCAATGCGGCGTGGTATGGAGGCAATCAGCCCGTGGCACTGCTGAGGCGTTATGGAGGCCCAGGATGCTTCGATAGCGGCCTTAAGCTCATCCAGAGTGTTGGGTCTTGTTCTCTCAACTTTCTCTTCACAATATCCCACAGGTTCTCTATGGGGTTCAGGTCAGGAGAGTTGGCAGGCCAATTGAGCACAGTAACACCATGGTCAGTAAACCATTTACCTGTGGTTTTGGCACTGTGAGCAGGTGCCAGGTCATGCTGAAAAATGAAATCTTCATCTCCATAAAGCTTTTCAGCAGATGGAAGCATGAAGTGCTCCAAAATCTCCTGATAGCTAGCTGCATTGACCCTGCCCTTGATAAAACACAGTGGACCAACACCAGCAGCTGACATGGCACCCCAGACCATCACTGACTGTGAGTGCTTCACACTGGCATTTTGGCAGTTTGGCATTTCCTTCTCCCCAGTCTTCCTCCAGACTCTGGCACCTTGATTTCCGAATGACATGCAAAATTTGCTTTCATCCGAAAAAAGTACTTTGGACCACTGACCAACAGTCCAGTGCTGCTTCTCTGTAGCCCAGGTCAGGTGCTTCTGCCGCTGTTTCTGGTTCAAAAGTGGCTTGACCTGGGGAATGCGGCACCTGTAGCCCATTTCCTGCACACGCCTGTGCACGGTGGCTCTGGATGTTTCTACTCCAGACTCAGTCCACTGCTTCCGCAGATCCCCCAAGGTCTGGAATCGGCCCTTCTCCACAATCCTCCTCAGGGTCCGGTCACCTCTTCTCGTTGTGCAGCGTTTTCTGCCACACTTTTCCCTTCCCACAGACTTCCCACTGAGGTGCCTTGATACAGCACTCTGGGAACAGCCTATTCATTCAGCAATTTCTTTCTGTGTCTTACCCTCTTGCTTGAGGGTGTCAATGATGGCCTTCTGGACAGCAGTCAGGTCGGCAGTCTTACCCATGATTGCGGTTTTGAGTAATGAACAAGGCTGGGAGTTTTTAAAAGCCTCAGGAATCTTTTGCAGGTGTTTAGAGTTACGTCGTTGATTCAGATGGTTAGGTTAATAGCTTGTTTAGAGAACCTTTTCATGATATGCTCATTTTTTGGGACAGGCATTTTGGGTTTTCATGAGCTGTATGCCATAATCATCAGTATTAAAACAATTAAAGACCTGAAATATTTCAGTTGGTGTGCAATGAATCTGAAATATATGAAAGTTTCATTTTTATCATTACATTATGGAAAATAATTACCTTTATCACAATAATGCTAATTTTTTGAGAAGGACCTGTAAGTACTTTGTGTTCTTGGTATTCACAATGGTCTGAATGTGTTTCCTGCAGTTGCCACAGTGAATTGGGGCTCCACTGATTGTGGCTTTTTATTGCACCTGTGCATGCTCTTTAACTTTAGGTTAACACACTCAGAGATAATTCAACTTGTAATCAGACTTTCTGGAACCTTTCTGAATTATTTTTTTTCTTTCCATTTTATAAATATTTTGTTTGTTTGTTCTCAGGTGGATGAGAAAAGGTGGGAATTCACCCAGCGACCAACAGAGGATGAGTTTCAAAAGAGGAAGAAGACAAAGTCTATTTCCCAAAAGCACTTGGACAAGGCCTGCCTCCTGCAGGAGAAGAGCCAATCAAATGCCTCGCTGCTGGTGAAGATCTTTAACTCCAGTCCATCTGAGTAACGGCCAACAGCTGAAACATTAACTATTATTAATGCCTCATTGTCTAACTAATCCCATGCAGACACATGGCAAAAGTAAAAGCAAGTATTTAATAAGCTGATTTTTGGATTATTTGAAGTTATGAATAAAGTTTGTTGTACTTTGTTATTTGCATTGTTTTGTCAAATTCAAAATTTAACCAAACCAGTAGAGCCTCATCTTAGCAGGAAAGAGAGATCCTTTCCCGATCATAGGGGTCACTGGTGCCCATATCCAGCCATCACTGTGCGAGAGGCGGGGGACACCCTGGACAGGTCTCCAGTCTATCACAGGTGTTGTGTTCCATTGAAGACAAGAAGGAGGCTGCCTGCTTCTGCGTTCAGCAACACTTTATTTTGTTTGCCACACTTGTATCAATCATTTCTTCTTCTATCTATTTATATTCTCGCCTCAACATGTGAGCAAGAACTATACCGACACCTAGTAGTTAAAATTTGTATTGACATATCTTTACATCCTCCTTGCTTTAAAGTGCTTGGAGGCTCTCGAAAGTGCTTTTGGACTAGCTGAGTCTGGTGAAGACCTGTATTTCTCTTTCAGGCTCTTACAGCAACAACTTGGTGAAATAGTGACTGGATATGACCATCTCGTTATTATGGGTGATTTGAACATCCACGTTTGTTGCCCAGACAAACCTTTGGTAAAAGAATTTTTAATTCTCATTGACTCTTTTAATCTGGTGCATTCTGTGTCTGATCCTACACACGATAAAGGTCACACTCTAGATCTTGTGCTCTCTTTGGGATCACCTGTGTCTAATCTGGAAATTCATGATTCTATAATCTCTGATCATATGCCTATAACATTCCAGACTGTTCTCACATATGCTCCTGTTAAAACTCGCACTCCTGCTCAGAGCTGTCGGATTATTAACCCCTCCAGTGCTGGTCAGTTCACTGAGGTTTTCTGCCAGCTCTGTCCACCTGCCTCAACTGATGCTGAGGATCTGAGTTCTTGGCTCCATTCATCCTGTCTGACTGTGTTGGATACTGTGGCTCCTTTAAAGACCAAACAGCCTGGATTTAAACATGAGCCATGGCTTCAGAACAGAACAGCTCGAGCTGTCAGACAGGAATGTCGCAGAGCGGAACGCAGGTGGAGAAAGGACAAGCTGCAGGTGTCCCTTCAAATTTTTAAAGACTGTTGGCGCAATTACCAGGACACAGTTAAAGCAGCCAAAAAGGACTATTTTTCTAACTTGATTTTATCCCACAGCCACAACCCACGTGTTCTTTTTAGTACAATTGACTATTTTCTTAATTCTCCACAGACACCTGGTTTTGAATCATCTACTCAGTTGTGCAATAATTTTATGCAGTTTTTTATTGATAAGGTCACCTCTATAAGGGCTTCCATCTTATGCCCAAACTTTGACCCCTCTGTGTGTGTCCCCTGCTCTGCTGCTTTCAATCAGTTTGAGCTGGTGACTGTCATTTTTAGAGGACATGGTCACTCAGATTAAGCCTTCTGGTTCTCCATATGATGCTCTTCCACCACGCTTTCTTAAAGAGGTTTTCCCTTGTTTTAAACACTTGGTTCTTGACCTTTTTAACAGTAGTTTGTTATCTGGAGTAGTCCCTGCTAATTTTAAACATGCTGTTGTGCAGCCCCTATTAAAAAAACCTGGTCTCAATCCCACTGTGTTGGGGAATTTTAGGCCCATCTCTAAGCTTCCCCTCCTGTCAAAAATCTTGGAGAAAATTGTTTATGCTCAGTTAAAATCCTTCCTGGATGAACATAACATCATGGATGTGTTCCAGTCTGGATTTAAAACTCGCCATAGCACAGAGTCAGCTCTGCTGAGAGTTTTTAATGACGTCCTCCTGGCATGTGACTCAGGTGATCATGTGATTCATCCCTCTACCTTCCTGGAGCTGTTAAAAGAAATCAGAACAGAAGAGGGGTAGGAAGCTTCTAAGGTAAAGCTCAATCAGTCAGTCCATACCATCCACACCGAAGTCCAAGCAGAGAACAAACAGTCAGAAATACAAAACTTGCAAGCAGAAATAAAGGAAGTCAAGTCAATGTTTGCAGGCCTTACCACTCAACCTTAACCTAAAGTGCAAGTTATGGAACAGCATTCAGCTAATACTGATACAGCAACAAGCTTTAATCCTGAAGTAATAGCACCAAAAAAACAAGTCAAGCACCTTCAGCAAAAAGTGAACTCAAAGACTCCACGATGTCAAAATGCAGTTCCACAGGTTGTAATGGCAGTTAGCACACCAGCTAGGTTCTCAACAGAGAGCGAAGAACGCTTTTGCTGTCGTGGTGGTGAAAATGGTTGTGGCAGGAAAATGTAACAGACCTGAAAACCATCCCATCCATCCATTATCTTTACCCGCTTGTTCCATTTTGGGTCACAGGGGTCGCTGGTGCCCATGTCCAGCAATCACTGTGCGAGGAGCGGGGTACACCCTGGATGGGTCGCAAGTCCATCACAGGGCCACATAGAGACAAATGAGACAAACAACCATTCACTCTCTCACTCACAACTAGGGACAATTTAGAGTTACTAATCAGCCTAACATGCATGTTTTTGGTCTGTGGGAGGAAACCGGAGTACCCGGAGAAAACCCACACATGCACGGAGAGAACATGCAAACTCCACCCAGAAAGGCCCCTGGACCGGGGTTTGAACCAAGGACCTGCTCACTGAGAGGCAACAGCTCTACCAGTTGCGCCACCGTGCTGCCACCTGAAAACCAATGCAAAGTTATTCAGAGACTGCTCCATGCCCTCAAGAAAGCCAAAACCAATAGCCTACAGTCCAATGCTGCAGCCACACCCCTTACTGATCCTGATCCTGAAAAAGTGTTGTAGATCTGATTGAACCTATAGGCATACCTGAAGGCCTGATAGGCCCACCCTCAGTTGAGCCATTGAAAGTGAATGGACACTTATGTGATGCACTTTTGGACCGTGGTTCCCATGTTAGCATAATTTTTGAGTCCTAGTACAGAAAATGCCTGCCTAATTCACTTCACTTCTGGCAAGCTGATGGATGGCAGCTCCCTCCGGCTTCTCTGCAGTCTTTTATCATGAAACTGACCCGTTTTTTGAACCCGACTACAGTTGGTCCTCCTTCCAACCGAATTCGGAGTTCAGTGACTCAGAGAGCCGGACGGAACCGTCCAAAAATATATTTTGGTCCAAGATCGGCCGCTCCCACCCCACAGGTCACTCTGAGCGCACCCTGTCGGCCAGGTGACCCCTCAAGCTGGGGAGTCATTGCACGAAGGTCCGGTGTTTTTTCTCTCTCTCTCTGGACCCCAACGAACTTCTCATCTGGACCTTTGTGGTTCTACCTGGTTCCAACGAGAATCGCCGAGTGGTATTTCGCTGGTTTTCTGCTGGACTGGCCCTCGTGGTGTCTTCATTGGTGTGGGGGAAGTGTACCTGTGACCCCCAAACTGGACCAGAACCGAACCGAATTGGCTCTGGGGGACTTCATCTTTAACAGAGCCGGTCTCAGCTTCAGTGAGCAGCCCGTTACTTTTAACAAAGGACTGTCCACCTCCATGGAATCGCTGTGTTCGCCTGGAGGAGACGTTCTGATGCTTTGAAGTGCTGCCGGAACTGGACTGGAGCAGAACCAGGCCAGGGACAACTTCAGCCTCTTCGTCTCTCGTGCTGTGGAGCGCCGGAGCCAGACTCGAGCAGAACCGGACCAGTGACGACTTCAGCCTCAGCCTCTCCGGTCAGTCTCGTAGTTTTCACTGGGGGTGCCTCTCGTCCTGTCGGGTGCGGAAGTGACGTGCAGAGAAGTGGAGGAGCTGCGCTGTGTGGTGCTAGAGAGAAGTTCGGAGTTTGCATCGGAGTTGCGGCAGGCCTCCATCCAAACAACTAGATAATAATTATTTTTATTCCGGATCACACTGTTGTCCCTTGTTGACCTGAAACAAGCTAAAACCATGCCTTTCATTTCAGGAGGATTTTCTGGCAGCTCGCTCTGCTATTTGCTACAAATTATCTATTTCTGCCTGTTGGTTCTGGGCCCAGACCAAACAAAACCGTCCTGAAAAATCTTCCATCTTAGACCTGTTTCTAACAAATATGCCTCACAAATTCCCTGGTATAGGTGTATCCGCTAACATTTTGAGTGATCATTGTGTAACAGCGACTCTTAGAGATATTAAACTTTCACCTTCTAAGCCTAGATTAATTCAAAAAAGGGATCTGAAACGTTTTTGTGAACAGTCATTCCTCTGGGATCTATCTCACTTTGACTGACATCGTATTCTTTTAATTGATGATGTGAACTCTGCTTGGAACTACTACTACTACTTTCTACATTTTTTTGTTGATTTGCTTTGTTTTGTTTTTTTGAACGTCCAGAGGACCAGATTTAACTTTTTTAGATTTTTCTACCTGGATTATTGAGCATGCATCAGGATATTTTGAACCACTTTGGCCAGGATTGCCTCAAACTAGTTAGAGAGTTTGAGAAAACAACAAGGAAGAGAGCAGACTACAGGAACCATTTGCACCGGGTTCAACTGTCCCCCTCTTACAATGCTGTGATTGCTAGTATCACTCAGCCCTCTGTGAACAGTAAACAGCTATCAGTGTGCTAATGATCCATTGTTATGCTGATGGTCCTTCTTGAGCATGTGATCAGCTGGTTTTGGTTGTCAGCAGCAAAACTGGTTGATCCACCCTGAGACGGTGCTATTTAAGAGACTGAGCTGAATACAGCTCCTCAGACTGAGGAAGTCTCTCGGATGAGAGACGAAACGTTTCTACATTTTTTTGTTGATTTGCTTTGTTTTGTTTTTTTGAACGTCCAGAGGACCAGATTTAACTTTTTTAGATCTGCTTGGAACTGTTTTCATAATAGTTTCATTTATTTTGTGAACAAACATGCTCCTTTACATCAGTTCAGAATAAAGGGACGAGACAGCCCCTGGTTTACTCCTGAGCTAGTCGACCTCCTGCACAGGAGAGATCATCTTTGGGCCACATCGAGAAAATCTGACTCAGACACTGATTGGTTCGTTTTCGACAGATGCGGAATAAATGCACAACTGCCATAAAG